TAAATGATGCTGGTCTAATTGGCTGTGTATAGAAAAATGAAAATATACCCATATTTGTCACCTTGTACAAAGCTCAAGTCCAAGTTCATCAAGTACTTCAACAGAAAATCAGATACACTGAATCTAATAGAAGAGAAAATGGGAAAGATCCTTGAACTCATTGGCACAGGGATAAATTTCCTAAACAGAACTCCTATGACTAATGCTCTAAGATCAAGAATTGATAAATCATACCTCATGAAACTGGAAATCTTCTGTAAGGCAAAGACATAGTCAATAAGGCAAATCAGCAACCTACAGATTGGGAAAATATCTTCACTAAACCCAGACCCGATAGAGGCCTAATATCTAAAATACATAAAGAATTCAAGAAGCTAACCAACAAAAATCCAAACAACCCAATCAAAAAATGGGGTGTAGAACTAAACTGAGAATTCACAATAGAGGAATCTCAAATGGCTGAGAAGCATCTAAAGAAATGTTCAAAGTCCTTAGTGATCAGAGAAATGCAAATCAAAAACGACCTTAATTTTCCTCCAATCAGAATGACTAAGATCAAACACTCAAGTGACACCATATGTTATGAAGGATTTGGAGAAAGAAGAATACTCCTCTATTGCTGGTGGGATTGAAAACTGGTGCAACCACTCTGAAAATCAATATGGAGATTCCTTAGAAAATTAGAAATGGATCTACCTGAAGATCCAGCAATACCACTCTTGGGAATATACTCAAAAGATGCCTCAACATGCTGTAGGGGCACATGTTTCACTATGTTCACAGTGGTCTTATTTGTGACAGCCAGAAGCTGGAAACAACCCAGATATCTTACAACAGAAGAGTGGATACAGAAAGTGTTATTCATTTACACAATGAAATATTTCTCAGCTATTAAAAATGAGGACATCCTGAGTTTTGCAGGCAAATGGATGGAACTAGAAAATATCAACCCGAGTGAAGTAACTCAGACACAAAAGGACATTCATCGTATGTACTCAGTAATAAGTGGATATTAGCCAAAAAATAAAAAAGTACAAAATACTCAAGATACAGTCCACAGAACTCAAAGTGGTCAACAAGCTGAATGGCCCAAGTGAGGACATGTCAGTCTTACTTGGGAGGGAGACAAAAGCAATCACAAGAGCAGAGGGAAGGAGGAATTTGGGAGGAAAAGTCGACTTGAGGGTTAGGAGGAGAGGGGAATCTAATCTGGTATTGTGTGAGGGAGGACTGAAGCCCTGAGGGCCAGCAGAAAGAATGGAAACAGGCAACCTGTGGAGGTAGGAGGTTTAGGGGAACCTCCAGGATACACCAGAGACTTGGAGGTGAGACATTCTCAGGACTCAAAGGGTCCTTAGATGAAATGAAAGTGTTGTTAAAAGATTTTTAACTTTCAAAAGTTGTAATGTGTGCCACTCATGGATAGGTAAGATTAACATAGTGAAAATGGCCATTTTACCATAGCCAATCTAGTAATTCAAGTGCAATTTCTATCATAATTCCTAAACAATTCTTTATAGACCTTTAAAGAGTAATTCTCAAGTTCATATGGAAAAAACAAAAATAATCATAAATTCCCAGATAGATAAAATAATCCTGTATAATAAAAGAACTTCTGGAGTTATCTCCTGCCTGACTTCAATCTGCTTCACAGAGCAATAGAAATAAAAACTGCATAGTATTCGTCTAGAAACAGATATACTGATCAATGGAATTGAATCAAAGACACAGAAGTAAACCCACATACCTACAGACACTTGACTTTTTAATAAAGAAAGCAAAACCAAACAATGAAAATGGGAGAGCATCTTTAATACATGGTTTAACTGGATGTCTGAATCTAGAAGAAAGCAAATAGATACTTTTTTATCACTGTGGTAGAATCTTCCTCTAATGAATACAGATTTCAGGGGATTTCACTGAGCAATGAGTAGGTGGGACTTGCCGGTTGGAAATAGGAACAGAAGAAACAGGAGAAGAATACTGGGTTTTGGATAGGAGATAGGTGGATGTAAAAATGTAGGTAGAGGAGACCACCAGTTCAGGTGGCAGATCCCCTTAGGATCCCCTACTGGAAGATTTAACTTAGAATGGCTTACAAATTAGGATGCAAGTTACTGTGCCCAATGATTGTGTTACTTGTTAATTCTGAACTAAGATTGTGTAGTGTTTTCCTTCACACCATGACTCAACCAGGTTCCAGAGAGAAATGTATGATGTAAAGTGTGTGTTTGTGAGAAGTGCACCCTAAAAGGCCTTGGGAATTTGGAAGTGTGGAACCTGCCATGGGTACTTAATGAGTAGGTGGAAAGATTTTGGAGCTCCAGGTCAGAGAGTCTGATGAGATGTTAACAGGTCTTATGGATCGTTGCCTAAATGTCTTCTGAATGAATTGTATCCCTGGGTATTGAAGAGCCCAGATATCCACATTAAAATGTTTTATGGGCTCCCATTTTCATGCTTACTACATTCCTGAATCGTATTCCTCATTTCCTCTCTCTCAGTGCTTGACCCCATCAAAGACTATGAGAGTAGGTAGATAAGGGAGAGTGTTAAAATAGCTGAGTATAAATGCCCACAGTGGATACGACCACAGGAAATCTCAAAATAGAGCTGTTTGGGGTGTTCTTAAGACCTATGAAGTTTACCATATTTCATGGGTGTGAACGTTCCACCTTAAAAGACAATACCAAGAGGTGGGACACAGGCCAGCATAAGCTAGTTCTCCCAGTGAAGCAAAATACTAGCCCATACTTTGTTGTGGGCTGGTGACTACTCCAGGTGCCACTCACCTCAGTCTGGGACAGGAAGAACAGCTTGCAGCTGTGCAATGATGACCCTGAGGTCTGAGGGTCTCACTGGAAAGTTTGAATGTGGGACTAGGATTATGTCTATCTCAATATAAAGGAGTGGGCAGTTGTGGTTTCACAGCTAAAGTCATTTACAGCAAAACAGCCAGGAAAAAATATATATATATTTGTCTGTGTGTTTGCATGTTTTTTTTCACAAAAATAAATTTAGAAGACAAAACTAAAGAAAACAAAAATTTCTTCATTTTTTTCACATCTCTGTTTTATTACCTGGTCATGTGAGGTTCAATACTTCCTGTTTTATGCTGCACTTTGGTCAAAGAAACAAAATTGGAGAGTCAATCAGTCCCATTCCATAGGCAGTCACTCTATCTTCCAATGCTAACTGTACTCCTTGACTGTTTACATTCTTCGATAAATTCAGAGCTCAATTATACAGCGCTTAGAGGAAGCTGCTGCTCTTTGGCTTTACAGTTATGGGCATGCTCCTATTTCTGACCATATGGACAAACAACCAAAAACCAAAAACCACCCTCTCTGTGTTCAGTTCCTGTCAACTACCGTTTTCCTTCATCAAGCACACTGTTAGGTCACTTATCTCCCACTGATGGTATGGCCACAGTAATGACCAAACAACTCTGGAATTCTTGCTCACAGTCTTTCCATGACGGTAGAGGAGGCACACAATATGCAGAGGACACAAAGAAGTGTGCCCTGTGTTTGGGGTTAGCCTCCATGGTAAGGATGATACTCTTCCAGCAGAGATAAGGATGTATAAAAGTCTAATCACCCTTTATATTTTTATGGGCAGTGTGACATAATCATCCCAGATCTGAGGGAAGAATGGAGGTTTTCTAGAGCAGCAATGGCTCAGGGGTGTAGATGTGTCAGTTTCTCACTTTAGCTCATATACTCTCCCTGTCCTGACCTTCCAAACACCTGCATTCTTGGAAATGATCAGGTAGAAAATCTAGACTGTTTTTTGTCTTAGAGAAGCTTCTGGAGGCTAAAGGCTAGACCTAAAACATTAAAACGAGTCCATTTCACTGTAGTTTAAACCAGTCCTTGCTGAAACAGCTTCTTTCAAGGAATTCGCATCACAAACCCATGGGCAAAACTCATAGAAGGAAAAATCCCTCATCTCACCTCTAAAAAATCAATTGTAAATATGTTCATGCCAACTGATAGACTGTAAATTAACTAGATGCCAGGTGATGATCAATATTAGAGTGCCTTAAATGTTTATCTCCTTGAATCCCATGACTTCATGCATAAAATGTCTTTTTTAGTATGTTCTAAGTACATCCCATGTAGTTCTTGGAGTATCAACGACAAAATTCTATAAAACAGCTAGAATGTTCAGTAGTAGAGGATTATATATTCACTTTATACAATATATAAGTGACTAATAATTACATATGGCTTTAAAAATCTTGAGATTAATATTTATAAAATAAAGAACTGCTTATTGTTTATTAGAAATATCTATCAGAAACGTGGTATAAATTTGTGTAGTAGTGTACAGCTGTAATTCTAAGAGTAAAAAGAGTAAGCACAGAAGTCTCTGAGTATGAGGTCAGCCTGTGCTATGTAGTAAGATACAACAACTACCTCGAAACAGCAATAACAAACAAACAAACAAAAACATCAGAACAAATCATAACTCATGGGAAAAGTATATACTTAGCCTGCTTATTCTCTTTGATTTGGTTTCCCAGCACCATGAACATATCAGCAGTTAAACTACTCCATGTAGAATGACATCAATGTTCACAGTAAATATTATCTATAATTAAAAAGCTAGAAGAGTATAAAGGAAGACTTTACCAGTGGAAATGTGAGTGCTTTAAAGGCATTCCTAATACATACTTACTGCAATTAACATGATTCAAAATCAAGAAGTAATTTTAAATATAGTAACTAATGATAAAATTTCCAACAGCCTGTTTGAAAACTAGGAACAGAAAACCCTCCTTAACCTAGTGCTTTTGCTAAGGACTCTGGTTTTGCTCTCTCTGCATTTTCTCTGTCTTCAAATGTCAATTATGGACATTACTTTTATAGCATCTGGCACAAAATGCTGCTTCTTTTCTTTGCTCTCAGAGTCAGCTTTCATTAAGCAATTTCCTCTTTTCGATTTGGTTAAGAGGAGGGGCAGAAAATCATGAGGTTGAGTATCACTCAGAGGAAAGTTAGTTCTGCCTTTCATCTTGGAGCCTCTTAGGAGATACAGGCCAGAAAAAGCCAACTTTTCCTCCAATTGGGAGATCAATTCCCTCCAACAGAATCTCATCAGTGTAGAGACACAGGTAACAATAGCTTCTTTTATTTTTTCTATCAAATGATAAAATAATTTCTAGAGAATTTCACATGGTGTGACATGAAAGCGGGATTAATGGGGAAGCCCTGTTGGTTGTGTTAGATCGATTAGGTTTGGTCTGGCAGCTTGTGGAACCTTTCATTCTGTCCTGGTTATTTTTTTCACAGTATACTGGGAATTGTGTTGTATGCTGAAAAATTAAGGTAGAGGGTACTATGGTGTTCATTGTTCTTTAACTGCATCGAATATTTACATATTATCTATCTGACAAATGTCACAATAGGAACCACGTAAGATGGATCAATCTGTAAAGGTACTTGCTACACAAACCTGATCTAATACCTGAGTCTGATCCCTGGGACTCACATGATGGTGGAGTAAGAGAACTCACTTTGTAAAGTTGTCTTCAGAATACGTGCACCTTGGCTCAGCCTGTTCCACTCTGAAAACAATAATAATAAATAACAATTTTCAAACAGAATTGTTTAATGATAGGATTATTTTCTGCCAAGAAATAAGGGAAAAGTTGCATCACTTCAGAAAACGTCATAAATTAAAAATAAGAGAAGAATGCTGTAATATATGCAGTTTGTCCTTATTTTCCACTGGCTTACATCTCAATTATTAAAGTAAGGGTAATATCAGTTACAAATACTATTTACTAATACATTGATATCTATTATCAGATTGTATCCTTCATGGGCATTAGCTCATGTATGCTGCATAGTGACAGAATTTATTGTCATATAGCCCCCTCTTGCAACACCATGTACAAGTATATGATATGTGATGTGGTTGTGTATATAGAATAATTTGCGATTAAAAACTTCATATTGTAACCTCTGTGCCTCTCTCTGTTGCTCCTACACCCCACCCAGCAATCTCCTCTTTCTATTTTTCTTGTTACTGTAGTCATTAAAGGTTACAGACCATTTCTGAAGACTTTGAGCCAGGAGCCTCAGATGAGAGAGAATATTCAGTATTGTCTTTCTTGGGTCTGGTTTATCCCACTCAGTAGGATCTTTTCTTGTTGAATCCATTTACCAAGTTCTAGCACAGAGAGGAATATTTAGACTACTGCCTGGTAGAGATTGTACATATCAGCTGAATGTGGCTTCTACCCAAGAGATATCTATGCGACTTGGATCACTTGCAGTATCAACTTTCAAATATTCTTTTGAAGGTAGTGTCTGGGAAACTCTGAGAGACATGTATAAATAAAAAGACTGAAAGAACACTTAATATTCATGTGTTCATCAAAATGTGTAATTAATTATAAAGTAACAGTTTTATTTATTCCTAAAGCTTTGACTCTGTTATTTGGATAGATTGTTTAAAAGTTTGTCAATGATTTTCAGGGTTGCCAATTTTACCTAACCTTTTAAGTGCTCTATATTTTGAACAAACGGGCTGTATCAATTTTATAATGACTTGCTAGTAAATTTTTGACTCTTTCAATGTTTCTTAACAATAATTGCTGATACCATTAGAAATATAAATAAGTTTAACATCAAAATGCAAAGTGTTCTCACCTATAATGCAAGTGGGTATCAGTCCATGTGAGGATGTTTGGATCATTAAATGATTTATTCAGACCTCACTCTTTCTCAACCTTCTGTATCACCAGATTTAGGTACCTTCCTATAAGTGAACATTTCAACTTTTTTTTTTTTTTAGAAATCATTCAAGGCCCCATTTTAACTGAAAAGATACTTCATACATCACTTCCAAGATGAGTGAGCAGGAGGTCACTTACTCAAGTGTGAGATTTCATAAGTCTTCAGTGTTGGAGAACCAAGTGAGGCTTGAGGATTATCAAGAGCCCAGAGAAGCTGGGCACCGAAGTAAGTGCTTTAAGTATCGAAAATCACGTTTTTATTCATTTTAAACTTTTAACAATTTAAAAATATCTTACTGATGTCTATTGAAATCTATAATATTCCATTTTATCTGTGCTTGGTTATGCACAGGGTAGGAGGGAAAAAAGAGTTTTTGTTGGAGAGTAATCAAGAACAAAATTGTTCAAAGCTACGTTTAAAAAATATAGCAATCAAGTTATAAAATTAAAAAAAAAACGAAAGAATTATAACACTACTTCTGTTTAGTCATGAGTCAGTTACAAGATAAATCTGATGAAGAGAGTAGAACAGTGGGAATCTGTAAGAAAAAAAATTCTTGAAAACCAAGGAGAAGCGAGAAACCATTAAGAGGTTTTTGATTTGGTTTTTTATTTAATTTAGACAAGAAAACTTCTGAAAACTTTAAAACTAATAAACTAGTCTGGAAAAGGACCAAATTTCTAAAGAAACAAAATACCAAGGAAATGAAGCTTGTACATTAGGAACAATACTTCCATTCTCAAGGAAAGTGTTTTAACTGTCATAAATATCCCCCACATCTCATGCAACAGGCAACAACTGTTGTCCATAAGACGATGTCTTCGACATGAAATAAAACTGCAGATGAAGGAAGAGGGGATAAGAGGATTAGTATGTGTGGGAATGACTAAACCTAGTGTGAATTCTTGAAAATGTCAAAGAATTATTTCATTTATTAATGAAAAGGCAGAAACATCATTTTTATTTTTTTAAAGTTGCTCTGTACACACTGTCACAGCTCTGCTCCCAGCTGAGAATGTTTTCTTCTTGATAATCAGAAGCATGAGTTTCAGATTCCAAATGCCTTAGGTAAACCAAAATGTTTAGTCTTATTTAGAGCAAAATCAAACTTACAAGAAAAAGAAGATAGGTGACTTATAGGCCCTTTCGAGAATGGGGAAATTACATAAATCAGGTCCAGAGCAGTTGTGGTTCCCTAACAGTTTTCAACAACATTCATCCCTTTTTCCTTCTTCTTCACCCTCAGTAATCTTTCTTGGTTGACTACATGCTCCAGTACAGTGTCTTGTACTTGAATTGTATCTGTACCTCTAATGCCTTCTCTAGAATGTAGAACTGGGTGAGGGCACATGCTTATCATCCAGCTACTTCTAGTCTGAGTCAGGAAGATTTAAAATATAAGGCTAAAGCATAAATAAGCTCAAAATTTTGTGAAACTTCACACATGTAGGATTTCATCAGTGGATATATTTTAGGTAGAAAAGTACAATTTTGAGAGCACATTTTCAGTCTGTTTGTATCATTGACTTGAGCATAATTTCCCCTAGTTTTTGTGCTATACAAACTTGTAATTAGCATTGAGATGTACTCTTATCATGGTGATGATTATCTTGCTTTTTTTGTTGATTTAAGAGAGTTTAGTCCCCCAGAAGCTCATTGTGATAGCTCTTGGACTCCTCTGTTCCATTCTGCTGGTAACTGTTGCGGTGTTGGTGGCAAACAGTGAGTAATTGAAATACATCTTACTTAACCTTCTCTCTAAAGAATAGCGTTAGACAAGAACTGTAGAGTTATACACTCTGTCCATTATCGTGTCTATAATCATGGATGAATCAGAATCTCTGGACTTTAATAGCTTTTTCTGACACACTGCAGTGTTCTGCTCTCTTTCATACCTAATCTGTTAGCTCCAGGGCAGTTGGGAGCTGCTCTGCTCTTTCTTATTCTTGCTCATTCATGTTCCTTTTGAGGACTTGGTGGTGGTTTACCTTCTGAGCTCAGGTGATTGTTAAATTTACGTAAACATTTTGTGAGAAACAGGTGTGCAAAGAACTTAAGTCATTCTTTTCCTTTTTCTTTAATGAATACTGATGTCATGGTTAAGTAAAAAAACTTTATCTGTACAGAAACATTAAAGGTTAAACTTTATTCAATTCTTTCACATTTACAGAGATAATCACTTCCAGGTTGTGCTAAAACATAGCTATGTATGTGGATATTTTGAATTTCATATGCTCCAATAACAATTGTTCCATTTCTTAAAGTTTTATTTTTAGTTCAAATTTTCATGGTGTGTTAAGTATTGGCTGAATATTTTACTTAGTATTTATTTGTAAATTTGAGCTGTAAAAGAATAAAGTACCTGTAAGTTACTTCCACCATAATTTATTAAGCTGCATTATTTATTTTACAGTCAAATTACCTATAGAGAAAAATTGATGTATCTGTTTCTATAGTGAGATAATTGAAGTACTAATTTATAAATGTTAAGTAACAATGAAAATAATGGTATGTGTTAGCTGTCAACATGAAGCCTTTTCTTTAATCTTAAATTTCAATACGTACTTCTTATAAGAAGTTTTGATATTATATCTGTGACTAATTTAGTTTTTCAGTATCGTCACAAAAAACATGAGCTGCAGGAAACTCTAAACTGCCACCATAACTGCAGCACCATGCAATATGTCACTGAGTTAAGGGAAGAACTGCTGAGAAATAAGTCTATAGAGTGTGGTCCAGGAAATGATCTTCTGGAATCCCTCAACAGAGCACATAACACATGGTACAGTGAAACCAAGACTGCTTCAGCTTCCCATCAGCACACAGGTAAGTAGCAGGGGATGATCATGAATACAGAATTGGATTATCATCTATTGTTTCTTTTATGGAAGCTTTGAAGTCCAAGCTGCAGCTTAAGATGCTGGTGATCTCTGGGTCAATCATTAGGGGTTCCTTATTTCAGGTAGGAGCCTGGAAACCCAGAAATCCCTGTTTGGGTTAGTGCAATCATAGTTTCCAGAAGTGTCTGTTTGGCACTCCTACTACTCCCTGGGCATGGAATTACAAATAGGTATTCCTGAGAATTTTGTTTGAATCTACGGGAAAATCTGACTCTCTAAACTTGTTTTTGACAAAACATGGAAGTTCTTAGTAAGAGTGTATTTATCTACTATTTTTGCTAAAATACTTAGAATATTTATATGGATGTACTTATAAAAACAATGATGTATAAGTGTGTTTGTGGGTGCGTGTCTTTTTTCCATCTGACTTGTTTTGAGAGATTTGGTCTCTTTGTAATGAAGAGATCCTCCCTGGATCAGACAAAGGAGGTTCTCCATGGTGTGCACACATTGCTACTCTGTCTGTGACACAGGAATGAGACTGGATAGCTGAAAATATCAAGTGCCACAAGCAACCTTTCTTGCTCTTTATTGTTAGTAGTCATCTTTAACTGACACAGTTTATCTCTCAACATTAAATATCTATTTTGGGGGGATTTAGAGTTTATGAAGAGCTCTTGTATATAATCTCACCATGCTGTAATAGTAGGATGTGATGATTCTCGTTATGTAAGGACTAATATTTTTAAAACTGCTACATTATAAAATCTGTGCAGGAATAAAAAAAGATCCAAAAATATTGTTGAAGTATTCCACACCCTTGAAAAAGGTTTTGTGTCATTACTTTAGCATAACTTAATTATTTGTGAAGGGTAGCATAATGATGTAATCCCTATGATTATGAGGTTGAGAGAAGAGGATTATATCTATCAGGACAATATGGACATTCCAACAAATTCCAGGCCAGCATGAGCTAAACAATGATAATCCTTCACAGAGAAATGTAGGTTGGAGAAAATGTTGTTAATAGAGCATGGTCATTCCCTGTGTCACACTAAGCACAATATTCATATTGAGGAGATCTTGCAACACAAACTGCACAAATGTTAATGTATTCAGCTTGAATTATTTGGGGTTGTGGACACACCACTGAAGGAATCGACATACTCAGGATATCAACATCAAAACTTCTCTCTCATATGCCTCTTATTTCTCTTACGGTAACAAAGTTTAACACAGATCATGGCACAATAAGAAGTGCACAGTAGTGTGTGGACCATTGTGGGCACAATGCATTACGGCAAATCTACAATTATGTCATCAGTTTAACTGCCTCTGAGTAGCAAGTGCTCATTTCCTGCCCTCCAGCCCCTGATACTTCACAAGTGTCTCCATCATAGAACTAGGCAGAATTTTAGAAACCTAATCTGAATGAAATCATAAAGCATGGTCCTAGGCCTGGTAAATTTCACTTTGCACACTATCCACAAATTCATCCATGTTTGTTATATAGGTCAGCATCTCTTTTTTGAGATTCATGTGAGACATGATAACATTGGGTAGCCCAGGGTGACTTGGAACTCAGAGTATAGCCAAGGCTGGCCTGGAAGTCTTTACTTACCCTAGGATGACCCCAAACTTGTAGTTATCTTCCTGTCTTTCTCTTTGGAGTGCTTAGATTATAGGCGAAAGTCATCATGCCCAGCTGATTCATTTTCCTGTAAGGACAAATAGTATTCTTTTGTGTGTGTGTGCTCCATTGATTCATCCATGACTCACGCAGGAAACATTTCTATATCTCTAGTGTTATTAACAATGTTGCATGGCTCATAGGTGTTTTTAGGGGTCTCTGGGCATTATACAATCTCGTTTTCTGAGATCTTTGAGATATTTACCCACCTCCCGTCTGTCTCTCTCTTTCTCTCTCTCAACACATCCTTAATTTATAATGTGTTCTGATAACAGAGTACTAGTAAATAGTAAATTTAATGATATATCTTCTCGGTTGTAGGCAAAAATGAAACATACTGGTTCTGCTATGGAATAAAATGTTATAGTTTCATCATGGACAAAAAAACATGGCGTGGATGTAAAGAGACCTGCCAGAATTACAGATTATCCCTTCTGAAGATAAATGATGAAGATGAACTGGTACTGTAGACAAATTGCTTCTTTATTCTCACAGACTCTGTCTTTAACTCTGAATAAAGGGATACTAAATCAAGGTATTTATTTCATTTGTATATGGTTTTCCTGTAACGTGAAGGAAACTGTGGGACACAGGTCTGCTAAGAGGAGACTCAGTACTTCAGAGAGACTTGTATCTTTCAGTCTCTCCTCTCTCTCTCTCTCTCTCTCTCTCTCTCTCTCTCTCTCTCTCTCTC